TATCAAAATAAAGACTGTCACCAAATTGTACATGTCAATCTCTTCCCAAAATAAATGAACAATTTATGTTTTGAACAAGGTAAAATTTACAATTCAGTGTAAGACCTCCTATTTGTAACTCAATATTTGTACAACCATCAATTTTCAGATCGGTGCTATTTACACATTTCAGATTTACTTTTGGTATGGATAATTTTGATTAAATTTGGAGGGATCTATAAATATTTGAACTGATGAAAGGCGCCTGTATCTATCAATAAAAGGCCTAAATCTTTGCTTGTTAATTTTGGTATGAGAATTTGGATATTCAACAGAATTAATTGTTACAGTATGTTTCTCTTTACATTTGTGTTTCTGATTCTTGCTCCCTCCAGTGGTCTCATTTTGGACTGAGCGTCTTAGTTTCGATCAATTGTTCATCATCATTACTCACAGCGGCATCAATGGCCTCGACATTTCTTGAAGGACAATTTCTACAAATATGTGCTAAAGCATATTCAAGAAGTGGTGCAAATTAAATGTGGATCCTCAAAAATTCTGAATTTTTTTTTTTTTTTTTTAGAAAATTTAAAATCACGAAACTTTTCAAGATTCATTAACATCAAAACGTATGACTTTTCGACACTTTATACATCCATTCCTCACGATAAATTAAAAAGTAGGTTTTTTTTAATATCATTGACAGCTGCTGATAATATTGATAATATCATTATTAGCCGACCTACTTTTTCTTTGTTTGAAGCAGAATTTCTTCAAAAACTTCTACACGAGAAAAAAACACTTGATATGGCCTTCAGCGCAACATTCAGATATATTTATTAACAATTGTTACTTCCATAGAGCATAGCAGATAAGGGCCAACTAACAACTAAACTGTATGACAAACGAGATGATTTCAGCTTTTCCATCCTTAGCTTTCCTTATTTGTATTGTAATATAAATTACTATTCACCAGCATATGGTGTATATGTCTCTCAACTTATTCGATATTAAAGAGAATGCTCTGACTACGATTAATTTTTATAACTGTTGTATTTTTTTTATTGGTACAGGGGAATACATGAGTGTTTCACACCTTACCTCAGTAAAATTATTGATGCCCCATGTGTTTTTATGCTTTTGAAGACCATGAATGTATTTCTTAATCTAAATCAGGACAATAATTGCACAATCAAGACATAAATTCTACGAATAGGGACCTACAGCATGTATCTTTTACACTCAAATATCCAGAAAACTGTTTCTGACATTTTTAGAGAAGTATCGCCTGATGAATTAATCCATCTATTATTTGAGGGATGTGTTTGTATCCATACATGTTCATCTTTCTTCAACGGTGGGATTACAAAATTACTTCCGGAGTTAAAAGATGTGATATTCCCCGCCAAAGAGTCAGATTTTTCACCTCCGTTAACGGCTAGGATAACAGCCAGACGACTGTTTGGTAACATTTGAACGGAGATCGAAAAGATCGTTTTTTCCCTTATAGTGACACTAAATACTACTCTATTTGTTATGATTGAGAAAGGTAATAAAATTGAAAATGTAATATTTTGTAATGAAATGTACTCCTCAATTCTCAGATCTTTATCTGAATTTGACAATAGGAAAAAATAAATCGATGCACTTTAAACACATGTACAACATTGAACAATGCTGTTGTTAAAGCCATGATACACAAGTTACCAAAATATCTCAAACACTTGAACTTGTACCAAAGTTTTACGTTTTAGTACATGTAACACGGGTATACATATTTGTATAATTAATATTATTGATGAATTGATCATTTACAAGCTCATCTAAAATAAAATCTCTCCTTAAAAGTATCATGCTATAACACATACTATTCTGTTTTAAGCTTTGTACTGATATCTGCTTCCAACGATCATCTTTTAAAAGTATATACATAGTAAGAGGTAGAATTAAAACAATTACATGTATTCCGAAGTAAAGCACAGTCTATTTTCTTGACAAACCAAAAAATTATTTATACATTTCACTATTGTAAATCAAACAATCAATATCGATTTCCATGTTTCATAAAGGCTTTCCAAACATGAGTTCTGGTTATGATGAGTCAAAGTGTGACATAACTTTTCAAGTTGTGGAACCTATCACAAATAACAGTATAAAATAAATTCCTTATAATTGTTTAATTATCATGAATGTTGTGACAAAAAAGTGGAAAGCAGTCATGATAATATTTTGAATATTTCAAGAGATTTAATTCATTTTAATCACACAATGTTATGTCCCTGGCGTTAGAAAAAGAAAATAACCGACTCAGAATAGAATACAATTTACGTAAATCAATTTACTTGTGTAATTATGCAAACGCTTTTAATATATTTGGTTTTTCTTTTACATAATTATTTAATATATACAGAATATTGATTGATCGATTTTGTAAATCAAAACAGTTGTTCAAAGAATATAAAATTCTGCTGTGCAGTGTTGTATTTTTCTCCTATACTTTCACTGAAAGCGGGGGATAATAATTTGGATCTTTCCGTCCGCCCTTCTCTCAGTCATTCTCTAATCTAATCTCAAAAACTTTTGTTTATGGACGACATCTCAAAAACCTTTGAGTTTTTGCTATGTAATTTTACATCACAGCTCCTCAAAGCAACAGTGGTGTACAGGTTATACCTTTCGTTTCCCTGAGCTTTCTCTATGTTATTTTATATGATAACTCCCGATTACTTATATATATATAAATCCTTTTGAGTTTTAGGTCAAAAGGTAAATGCAATGTCTTGCATAAAATGGTTTCGTGTGATAACTCTAGTTCTCTTGACTTTTTGAATGATATTTTATACTTCTGGTCACTGGACTTAAAAGAGACTCCTATTGATTTTGAGGCCAAAAGGTCACAGATAAATGTCAAAAATTTGTATATTATGTATACAGTTTTCAAATGATTACTTCTCTGTATACTTTTGTAATGAAGCTTAAGGTCTTGAATTTCTTTAACCTAAAAAATTACCCTTTTGCCTTTTAGGACAAAAATGAAAGGTCAAGGTTGATCTTTTTCTTTCTCCATCTGCATATTTCCTTCAGTTCTTCAACCTTTTCCTTTTTTTCCTTACGCGGAGGACAAGCATTCTCTGAATTAGCTTGTTTAAAAGTGTTTAAAATTCAAATCTCTAAAGAAAAGAAATATCATTGATTTGGAATTCCATGTCTCAAAATATATTTTACTAAATAAGATATTCATCATACCAATTAGAATAAAATCATGTGTTCGATTTTCATTATTATATACTTAACCCTTGAAATTAGTACACGTATAAACATTACATTATTCCTAAGTGAAATGTGTACAATTTCTTAATAGGAAAGAGTATTTTACATGCGCGGAAAGAAAAGACACATTCTTAAAAAATGATTTTTCACTATTTTTTATGTATGTGTGTATCACAAACAGAGACCAATTTTGAAAACGGGAACATACATGTAAGTGACTTTAACGATTTATTACAAACATATTTATGTATCTAAATATCTATTTCTAAAGATTTTGAATCTTTTTTCACTTTAAATTTGTATCAATTAACTGCTTCGAAAGTAAACTTGGTCATATATTTATATACTTTTAGAAAATGTTTGAATGAAATGTTGAAACAAACAATAAACATCCAAATCAATCCTATTTAATATATACACACAAATGTCCTGAAATGCTTTCTATAAGAAGTACACAAAAAAGCAAGATACTTTAAGTATAAATACTTTACTGTTGACGTTAAATAATTATTTTCTTACTCTACCATTTTAAATTAACCAGTGTGTATATTTAGCTCCTTTTGTAATCTAATGATGCATGCAAAAATGTCAATTATTATTTATTACTTATATCTCTTTCTGCAGCATTAAGAAATATAAATCACATAAAAAATCATTTTTATCAATCAATTTATTGTCTTTTCCTTCTTTCTGTGAGTGCGATTGGACTGTTTTATTCATCTGTCTAGGTAAAAGGAGGTCTAGAAATAAGAATCCAAAAATCAAATATTATATAAGCGAGTTCTGTGTAAGGTGCATTCTAGAGCACATGTTGTTCATTTATTTCTACAGCATCATAAATTACTACAGATTCAAATATTGATAGGGTAATTTATATAAATGAGCCTCACTTAAAAATCTTCCTCCGAAGACCCGCTCAAAGATAATTAAGAAAAGTAAAGTAGCATATGTCATATACATTACATAATGACGGTCCTCTGCTTTCTTTTTCCATAATATAATAGTTTTAATAGTCTTTAATTTTTTATCAGCAGAAATCAATGTTAGAAAATAAAAACACTCTGAAACGTACCAGAAATAGCGAAATTTAAAGCACTTTATATAAGATATCTTTAAGTTATTTTAAGCTGAATAAATTTGAGGGAATCGTGATCTTTTGATTGGTGACAAAATTTTATGAGTATATTGAATTTAAAAATATTTTAATGTTTATTTCAGATTGTCATATCTGATTGAGAAGACTTTTACACTTTGTGGGAATGCATAACAAATCTTATGCTGGATCATGAATGTCGAGTGGCATAATGTAGCATTGATAATCCTAATTTGATATACATTACATTAAATCACTAAAAATTTCAGGCCGGATGTACACAGATTCTTAAAAAAATAATCTAGTTGAGCTTTATTCGATGGATCAATTGTTTAAGAAACGCTTTTGAATTACTGAACTTTAAAGAAAATTTCAATAGCTAAAACAATTGTCTTATTCTAGGCTCTGCTAAGTAAATTAAACATCAAACCTCTTAAAGTGAAATCATGTGTTCGATTTCCATTAGCATATTCATGAAAGGATCAGGAACAACACATGTATAGTTATGAATTTTTATAAAAGATTACCGTTTCGACAAGGAAACATTCTTTAGAACAGCTAATGAATGGTATCTAAGACCAAATATCAGCAGAAATAGTTTTCCTTCGAATTGCTTAATTTTACTGAAAAAGAGATTCTACACGTGCGGAATTCAAAAATGAATTTATTCATCTTTCCTCCTATTTTTCTATACTTGTGCGTACCATATTTGGAAGCTTCTGTAGTTAGTGGAAATTTTTTATATCAAGGAAACGTTTCATATTTCGACAAGTCTTTGTTGATATCCGAATTAACACCGACAATTACAGAAATTTCATTAAGTTATTGTGCCGTAGAATGCTACAAAAACCTGGACTGTAATGCAGTAGAGATATGTTCGTCTACGGAAGGAAGCATTTACCGACTTAGTAGAAGCATTTCAACGTCGATGATTACTGGAGGTAATTCATGCTTCCGGTATGAATTGGTAAGAAATCAGACTGAATTATTTATTCAGGCTATAAAATTTATAATTACTTTCTATAAAGTTCAAATGTTTATTCACACTCCAATAAAATATACAGAAATACGTAGACAGTTCAACCGAAGTAATCTTATTTTCATTAACAATATCCAATAATTGTGTTGATTGAAATTTGTTGGAACTCTAACCCTTTCCCCCAAAAAGCATACGATTATGCAGGAGAGGAAATATGTGATCCCTACACACAAGGATTGTTTCTAAAATATACAGACAATGCCAATCTTCGTCACTTTATTTAGAAAAAAAAAGATCAACACTTTATCATTTGAAAACATATTAATTTTGTTGATGTTTGACTGCACTCAATGTTATCAAATGGAAATCATATCACTTAATTATGATATTTAAAAAAATTGATACCACAGAGCATTCTTTATTGCATTGTAACGTCAAAATAATGATTTTTAAAGAAAAATACCCCCACCCCCTTCACAATTCATACACAAACTTTGGTACCATACAGACTCATTAAAACGTTTCTTTATCTCTCGACATTAAATTTGTTTATAAGTATTCCAGCTATTTAAGTTCCTTTTTCATTGTTCTCGATAATTTTTCCTCAGGTAATTCTGCAACAGTGAAGCGCCCTGCACTTCCCATTCCAATCACCTTTCTTTTCAAAAAAAAAAAAAAAAAAAAAAAAAAAAAAGAATGCAGCAGAAAATTGTTTCGTAGTTGTCCTATTACGTCATCATTTCTTTTTATGAGGACTACCTATCGTGTAAAATTGATTTCTTTTCAATGAAGAGGCATATTTTGTCAAATTTTGGCATGTTTAGATTTGTAACATGTCTAAATTTGAACGTCTGCTTTAAAAAAAAAAATTAAACACAATTTTTGAGAAATACGACTAAAGCCATTGTGTCGTGTAAAGTTCGTACATAACATAACTAAATTTTGGCCTGCTAAAATTATCATTTGAAAAGTTATCTCGATACCCATATGAATATATATTGAATTAAATATCACTTCAAAGAGGAGGCCAAGAACACCTATTCTGAGGGTAATTTGGGGAAAATGTAGACCCCTTTCACTCACTATAGATCTTTGCCTTACATGTCTGACTCAGCGTGTAATCAAACCTTCAAGTCATTATTATGTTGTTTACGAAACGATACAGGTATATACAACAATTTTTAGTGCATGGTAATATCACCACCATTAATTTTTTCTGATTTTACACCGATCGGTGTGAGAATTTGATTAATATTCATCTTGTTTGGTTTCTAGAAATAAAACAAACTTTTGTCAATGTATTTTAAAATCCATTTATTATTATGTTTATATCATTACTTTAAGAAATTATAAAGAATGTTAGGTAATAAAACAATTATTTCATGACAATTCGGGAAACAGCCAAACTGTTGTCCTTCGATAATGAGGAAGACCTGGCAAACTGTTGCCCTCGGCCTTCGAACTCGGGCAACAGTTTCCCAGGACTTCCCCATTACTTCGGGACAAAAGTTTGACTGTTCCCCCCGTAGTCATGAAATAAGTATATAATAATGATGCGTGTCTGCTAGGGAGTAAGCTTATTCTATTTTAATTGTTTCTTTTTAATTTGAACAGGAGCATACATGTGGAAGGGATTCTTACTACAACAGACGGAATGGCCACTGCCAGTGTGTTATAGGTATGTATAACAGAAATCGATAGCACGGTTTATTATGATTACCTAGGAATAAAATTAATGTGTATCATAAATTATATTTACGGACAAGAGGATCATTACATGTAAGATCTATACTAAAGCGGTTTTGATAAGAGGTTAATAATATCTAACTGAAGGAATGGATGGAAGGGATAAATCTCGTTTTAATTGTTAATAAAATAATTGAAGGGCCTTTGTTGTAAAATGGTCATTATCAGTATATATTTACATTTGCAAATGTTTTCTTTTATATAACACTATTAAGAGCAACGCGTATCTATATCCGTATAAACACGGGTTCCTCGCGTTAACGTTCGACGTAATTTCTCAGTGACGTCATAAAGGGTCGACACGCACTCAATGGATCAAATACGTGCCGTTGAGTTTGAAAAAAAAAAAAAAAAACATTTCACACGTTAAAGATTGTAATCAGGAAAATATAAAATATGAATAAGTCATAAATGTAAATATAAGTAATAATGTATCATTTTTAAACATCTATCTGGATATAAATACGGGTTGGTACGAGATCAAATTTACCATAAAGCCCTTCGGGCTTTATGGAATTTGATCTCGTGACCAACCCGTATTTATATCCCGATAGATGTTTAAAAATGATGCATTATATCTGAATTAACTGAGGGGGAGTAACTATTATAAAACTTTTATTTGTGTGTATTGGGAGGGTAATAGCATCCATCAAAGATCTGATTTAACCGATGTAAGACTTGCTGCCAGAGTAATTTTGATATTCACAGTAATCGAAGGATATGGAGTTTTTTTTATTTTTTTCTTTGGAAGGTTGAACTAAATTTTCTATTTTTTTTTGGTGTTTTAATGAAAATGTGTTGTAAAAGAGAAGGACTAAAGAAAGAAAAACCCAGCAAATTGTCATTATTTTTTGGAAGTGCTAAAATCCATTGATTTGTTCAGGCGACAACTAGAGATGTAAATATGAAATATATTAAATGAAATATATTTAAAAAAAAGGATAAATATGTATCTTTTTAAGAAAACAAAGTCACGGGTTCATATTAATTTCCAGGCCTTTAAGTGCGTTTTTATATCTAAAATGTTTTAATAGGATAAAAGAAATAATTATACCCAGCCTCGTGTTAACAAAACTCACTCAAGCTCCTTAAAATTTAGAACTAAACTAGATAAAAGTTCCTTCCCATTCAGATCACCCGTAGTTTTGTAAATTTTTAGCGGTTAAAAGTCAATCGTCTTAATTTTTTTTTAAATTAAAAAATGAAAATTATGCAAAATAAAGCTATGTTGAAAATAAATAAATGACGACAAAGCTGTTTTCAATGTTTAAGAATTACTTTATAAAAAAAATAAATCCTCTACATTAGTACAACCATGTTGACCATAAGCACTGACAAATCAATACTAGATGCTGTCATGAGACAGTAATACCCGCACTAAGGTGTTTGCCTCTAAATGCACACTCCTTCATATTGGGCTTACCAAGGAAAAAGTCCAAATAATTCTATAATTTACACAGTACATGTATTCGTCAAATCGAGCATAAAATGCTCAGATGTCCATGTGACCCATGAACCTCTTATACGCATTTCATATACTTAATTCATTACCAGTCTGAAATATCAGAATTTAATTAATGTTGTAAATTAGGTTTTAATAAAAAGGGGGGGGGGGATATAAATTTTTGGCCCATAATTGGAACTTTTTAAATTAAATTTATCTTCTCAACAACAAATAATATTATTTTAGTACAAAGCGTTTTTGATGAATTTATCAAAATGTGCAAACTTTTTTTAGTATTTGATTAGGCAAAAACCTCCTTGAAAAGCCATACCCAATCAATTTATATGTGTCCCCCCCCCCCCCCCCCCAAATACACACACACACAATTTGCCTGTTTTTGGAAATAGGCCTAGATGGCAAAGTTATGTTAAAACATCGTTTGTTATGATAATTTAAAATTTGTTCTTGTACTGTACATGTATGTGAACACCTTTTTGAAAATTTCTACATCACATTGGGCTTGCGTCACCCTACCAGTACTAGTACTAGTTTTACCATTATCATTTTTAGATTGCACATGCCATGTGACATGGTGCAGTGTTACATGTATATCAGTGGAAATTAATTCATTTTGTGTTTTAATTGGATTATATTTCATGAAGTTGACAGGACCTATGACAGTCGGTAAGTACAAGTTTAAGTATAGATTGGGGTAAAATAAACCAAAATGCAAATGGTTAGGTTAAAGTTTAAAAAGGATCAAAGATCATCGGCAATCTCCTATGCAGAGTTGTCGTTCGTTTCTCTCTCAGACACTGAATGTATGAGCCGATCGTAGAGAGTGGATCATCGATGCCACAATAGACGAATTTCACATTCTGAAGAGTTATCTCCCGTTGTCGACATTACATTCAGTTACAGGCATAGATCCGGGAATTTTTTTCCGGGGGGGAGGGGGGTCCACACCTCGGTCCAAAAAAATTCCAGCCCAGAATTTCCTGAGGAGCAAAATAAAAAAAAAAACAAACAAACAAACAAAATAAAAACAATGATGGTGGGGTCCATGTTTTTAAAGGGGGAGGGCATCCAAAGTCATTTTTTATTTGCTTCTGTAAATCAGTATATAGTCCTATTTAAATAACTCTGCAAATTCCAGGGGGGGGGGGGGGTTCCAATCTCCCTAGCCGCTCCCTGTCCCTGAAATGACAAATGATCATGCGACTCCTAAATAGTAGAAAATTTTTCCATTTGACTAGACATAATTTTGTTTCTTGTGTTATTATGTTATGTACATCTAATGGTTTAAGGTTATGAACCCTTGAGGTCATCCCCACTCTCTTGTTCATAATATGACTACATCAAATTAAATAGAAGTGCATCAATGATAAGATTACTTGACATTTCATTCATGAATTTGGGTCAACCTAGAATTAGGAATGAAAATCATTCAAAGAGATGGACCATTAAACTATTTGTATGTATTCACATTTTTTTTATGTCAAACCAAAGTATTAGACTAGTTTGCATACATGAACAAACTGGGGTCTGGGAAGGGGAAGGGGCAAGGGGAAGGAGTTATCTCTTTACGTCTTAATTAATTGTTGAAAATTCCTAAAATGAATGTTAACCTTAAATCCGACTTGTACGTCTTCATTATTTTTAAGTGATGGTGTCTCCGTATGAGTGAAAAATTCCCAAGAGGGACATTTAACAACAAACAAACATTAATGACTTAAAAAACACAATATACATGTACATGTTTATTAGTCAACGGATATACTTCTGATCATATCTCTAGTTCTCCCTTGAATCAGAAATGATGATATAAATATTTTAAGAATGATTAAGAGTTGAAAAGGTTGTGCATTTTAAAATTCACTAAGCTCTGTGGTTGAATTAGCTATACCAGTTTAGCTTATTTTGCTACTCAAAGCACCTTGATTAACTATTTTTAATCATACTGTTTCCTGAAATGTGAAGTTTTTTCAACATGGATACAAGTCATACCTTTTCAGCTTCTGAAAACAATTAATGCATGAAAAAAAAACTGCTTTTCAAATACTGTAACTCTTTCCAAGTACTTGTGATCATCAGTTTTTAGCTCACTTGAGTTTTTCTGGTTTTCTGATCACATTTTGTTTGTCATTCATCTGTCCGCCTGTAAACTTTTCACATTTTTGTCTTCTTCACTAGAACCGCCGGGCCAATTTCAACCAACCCAGCCACAAAGCATCTTTGGGTAAAGGGGATTCAAGTTTGTTCAAGTGAAGGGTCACACCCTCTTTCAAGGGGGGATAATCAAGAATTAGTGAAAATTTGGTGGTATCATTTTAAAAAAGTCTTATCAAGAACCACTGACTGGGCCCAAAAAGTTGAAACTTTCTTTACATAGACAGTGTAGCTTCAAATTTGTTAAAATTATGACCCACTGGGGTAGGATGGGGCCACATATGGGGATCCAATGATTTACATAGAAAAATGCAGGGGATTTTTTCCATCATAAATCTTCTTCTCATGAATAGCAAGGGCATTATTGTCATCCGTTTTCACAAAAGGGACCTAGGGGACATTAAATCTCATTTGTCTGTCAGTCTGTCCGTTTGTCAGTCTGTCCGTCTGTCACAATAAATTTAACCTTGGTCATAACTTCTGAATAATAAGAGATAGGGATTTCATATTTCACATGTACATTACCTACAAGAACTTTCTAAACATACCATGATTTTTGAACCCATGACCTTGACCTTGAAGTTTGACCTACTTTTCAAAAAATTTAACATTATTTCAAATGATCATTTTGAAAGAGAAAAGATAGGGCGTTCATATTATACATGTATATTACCTGTGACAAGACCTTTCTAAATATATCATGACTTTTGACTCTGTGACATTGACCTTGAAGCTTAACCTACTTTTCAAAAATGTTATATTTCCTTATAACTTTTGATTGAGAAGAGATAGGACTTTTATATTTGACATGTACATTACCTGTAACAATATGTTTCCAAGCATGCTATGATTTTTTACCCCTTGACCTTGATGTTTTACCTAATTTTCAAAAATTTTAACTTTGGTGATTACTTTTGAATGACATATGATAGGGCGTGCATATTTGAAACAATATGTCATAAATAATGGCATCCCATCCACTAGGACACGGAAAGCAGGGGACCACAATTCTTTGAATTTGCTTGTTAGTCATTTTGATATGGAAACATCCTCATATAGTGTAGATTCAAGTTTTTTATGCCCTGCCATGAATATGGCTGAGGCATATAGTGTTTGTCATGTCCGACTTAAATAAAACGTCATATGCTGATACATACTGATGTAAGCTTTTCAACTGCATCAAAATTTTTGACCTTGAATTTTCCTTTGACCTTGACCTTACTTTTCTTAAATTAGTGTCTAGATCAGTTTTGAATAAACAATTCAAGATATATTTATCAAACTTCATATGCTGATATAATTATACTGCTGAGAGATATCAATTGCATCAACTTTTTTGACCTTGACTTTTCCTTTGACCTTGACCTCACTTTTTTAAATTAGTGTTTAGGCCAAACAAAAAAATATGTGTGGTTCCGGTTACACTTCCAAAAAAATTAGGGTAGGTAGGTAGGGATTTTTATTTTTTTTTTATTTTTTTTTTTTATTTTTTTTTTTTTAACAAAATGATTTTCTTAATTTTTTTTTCTAAATAGTACCTATCACTGCTTTGCAAATGGCATTTAGATGTGGTGTGATAATATACTAGTCAATATTGGTAGGGGACACCTACATGCTAGCTTGCTTTGGATTTAACACTATTAAACACTTGCACTATGTTTTGCAAGGAGGCGGTCATTGCTGAAACTAAAACTTAAACTGGAGCCATTGATGGAAATTGGGGGAAATTCCGGAAAAATATGAAAATTGCCAAAAAAAAGTTTAGGGTCGGGGGTATAAAATAGGGAAGGTCGGGTAACCCGAACCACACATATTTTTTTATTTGGCCTTATCTACATTTTAAATAAACCATTTCTGATATTTTTGTTGAACTTCTATGCTAATAGTAAATACGTACTGATATAAGTTTTTCAACTGCATCAACATTTTGACCTCAACCTTTCCGTTGACCTT